TGGTTTTTAGCTCACCTGGCCCAATGGGCCAGGTGAGCTTATGCCGTACTGCCGCGTCTGTCGTCCGTCAACTTTTTCTTTTAAACGACTTCACCTGAAGAACTGGAGGACCTAGGGTTAAGATATTTGGCCAGTAGGTACCTGGGATGGAGTGCTATAAAGTTTCCTCATTAAAATGACCTTGACCTACTTTCAAGGTCACAGGGGTCAAATATGTTAAAAACTTCAAACAACAATATCCTAAGAACCATTTAGACTAGAGCATGATACTTTGGTATGTAATGTAGACCAGCAGTGCGTATATTTTTCTCAATTACAGTAATGAGGTTTAAGGTAAACTTTAAGTGATAGTTGGGGGTAAAAAGTCAACATGGGTTAAAAGCTTTAACAATCCTCTTCTCAAGTTCCATAAGGCACAGGGTCCTGATATTTGACCAGCAGGTACCAGGGATAGAGTGCTATAAAGTATCCTCTTTAAAATGACCTTGACTTACTTTCAAGGTCACAGGAGTCAAAAATGTAAAAAAGACTACGATATCCTAAGAAACATTTGGTCTAGAGTCATGATACTTGGGTATGTTATGCAGACCAGCAGTGGGAATCTTTTTCTTAATTACAGTAATGAGGTCAAATGTCAACTTAGGTGCTAGCCGGAGTCGAACGTCAATGTTGGTTAAAAGCTTTAAAATGACAATTTCAAATTTCAAACAATATCTTGAGAAGCGTTTAAGAGATGTTAAAATGTCTTGTGTTCTAGTTACCAAATTCGGTCTGAAGTTACCTATATGTCAGTTTCATGTAACAAAAGAACCAGGTGAGCGATACAGGCTCTCTGGGCCTCTTGTCTTTGATGAAATTTTTACAGCAAGGGGTTTTGCTGTATTGTTTTAATTTTTAAAATTTCTTTGTCAATTGATAATAAGTTACTGTATTGTCAGTTTGTAGTCTGTAAAATGTTTAGTGTACATATCATGTTTTTCATGTGAAGTCTATGTACATTGAATTTTTAATAGTTTATCTCTGTTCTAGGTGAAAACAGGACCATTTGCTGAACATTCAAACCAGTTGTGGAACATAAGTGGAGTAAAAGAGTGGCAGAAAGTCAACTCTGGACTAGTTAAAATGTACAAAGCTGAGGTAAGGGAGTTCAAGATAGAAAATAAAGTGTGCACATATACTTAATCAAGTTAAAATGTACAAAGCTGAGGTAAGGGAG